AGAAGGCAGATGGAGAAGAGCCTCTCTCTGTGGAGATCCAGTCTGGCAGAACCACAGGAGCTGTCCTTTTCAGAGACTACAACACATACTCAGCCTTATCTAATACAAACAACTGCACAAACAACAAAGAAACCTCATTAAATAGATAGATAGATGGATAGATAGTAGGGGTGGGAATCTTTAGGCACCTCACGATTCGATTCGATTACGATTCAGAGGGCTGTGATACGGTTATAAAACGATTATCGATGCATCTCGATGCATCTTTTTTTTTCTATACAAGATTTCTATTTTCTTACTGTCTGAGGACTTGGTACTTTTAAAGCTAAGTATTTGTAATGATCCATAATGCATTTACGTCCAATATCTTTTATTAATAAAACAAATGGAAGTGATGTGTCTCATCTGCGATAAAATGCGCAGTTACGGTGAAATAAGATCCAGTGGTGATGGATGACCACGCAGCACATTATAGCTGTCCTACTCGTTTTCTTCAGTGATTTTATAACTTCAGTTTTGGTCTCGTGGTGGGGGGGGGGGAGGTGTCGCTGTGTCAGTAAAACATCTTCGAGACGGGACGTGCGCAGCATAGCGCGAAAGCCCTGTTTCTCAACGACTGAGAATTGAAAGGAAAAGAGAAAGACAGACTAACTTTTGGAGATGAATGGACTTATTCACATTTATAAGCAGCGCAGTTGGTTTCCTGGCAAGTTAAATCTGCAACGAGAGACTGTCAAACACTAAAAAGTTGCGAAGATGAAGTTGCTTCTCTGTCTAATTTTCCCGTTCCATCTTAAATGGTGCCGCATTTAACTTCGGCGCCTCAGTCAGAATTTAAGGTGGAACGGGAAAGTTCAGCAAGAAGCTGGCGAGTGAGAAGCGACTTCAGCCTCGTAAAACAGCGGAAAGCTGAGAGACATTTTACAAGAAACTATTCAACTTTTGAGGAAAGGTTTTCTGGTGGAGATGGGAGGAAAGTGGCTGTAGCTGAAGCTTAAAGCAGAGCAAGTCTGCGTTTTCGTTTATATTGTTTAGCCTGTACTAGGACATTATCACATACTGAGACATACGGGACATTAAATGTTGTGGCTCCCAAGACGGTTTGATTTTTGTTCAAAGGACAAAATGTCTATTCTTAACATCTGTGTTGTGACTCCTGATCTAACCTGGCTTTAATGCAGAGGGAGCCGGTCGGATTTCTCACTCATCCAGTGGTGTTTTTGTTATGTGCCGCCACAGACTGTCCGGGCGCTGCACTTACCCACTTCCAAGTTCCGCCCTTTGCGTTCCGTCAACATTACGTTATAAATTAAATATTTAGAAAATCGGTTTTTGACGTTGAATGAATCGATTCAGAATCGTCCACGTCCGCATCGCGATACATCTATCGATTTTTCCCCCACCCCGATAGATAGATAGATAGATAGATAGATAGATAGATAGATAAATAGATAGATAGATAGATAGATGGACGGATGGATGGATGAATGGATGCATGGATAAGGTGCACCCATTGCTGACACAGGGATTCATTTGTGCACAAAACTTGTATAATTTCCATAGAAAAGCACTGACCAATAGAAAGCACTGACCAATAGGAGGGGCCGCATATGGCCTTAAAGTCACCATGTGCAATTCCAAGCGCCGGAGGGATATAAAGCCCCCCAGTATTGGGTTGCGGAGCAGTTGAACTGTGTTCTCTGGAGTGATGGAGCTCCATCCAGTACTGATCATCCAACATCAGTATCTGACCTCACTAATGCTCTTGTGTCTCAAGGCAACCAAATCCTCACAGCAAGGTTTCAACATCTAATGTAAAGCCTTCCCAGAAGAGTAAATACTGATACTGCAGCAAAAGGGGACAAACTCCCTATTAATACCCTTGATTTCAGATCACATCTTGGATGAACAGGTGTCTACAAATATTTGGACATATAATAAGGGAAACAGTTCAGGAATTCTGGAATAATTTATTTTTCTTTTATTCATAGTATTTCTATGAGTATTAATAGTAGTATTAAAATAGTAGTAATAGTACCCGGGCGGCATGTAGCGCAGTGGATAGCGCTGTCGCCTCACAGCAAAAAGGGCCTGGGTTTGATTCCCGGCGGGGCGGCCAGGGTCATTTCTGTGTGGAGTTTGCCTGTTCTCCCCGTGTCTGCGTGGGTTTCCTCCCACAGTCCAAAAACATGCAGTCAGGCCAATTGGACATGCTAAAATTGCCCCTAGGTGTGTGTGTGGGTGTGATTCTGTATGTCTGTCTGTCTGCCCTGCGATGGACTGGTGACCTGTCCAGGGTGTATCCTGCCTTCTGCCCAATGACAGCTGGGATAGGCTCCAGCAACCCACCGTGACCCAGAAGGATATGATGTATGTAATAGTACCCATGCAGTACTGAGAAGAAATAATAATATTAGATTCTGCATTATTTGGTGATTGTGTAGATTAGATTTAAAGTCACAGTGAGATTAGATTTAAAATCACTGTAGGCAACAGGCCCATTATTAGTACTACCACAACCTTTTAGCCCTTTAACAACTACAGCACATTTCCTGTACTCTTTACCACTGAATTCACAGCAGGGGTATGTGCTGGATAGGGGGCTGAGCTGTCATTTCCTGTTTGGGGCTTCAAATGAGAGTTTATGTGTTCATTTTGCGGAAGAGTTCAAATTTAGCAGGAGTGAAATGTGTTAAAAAGGAGCAGTACAAAATGTAAATCAGTGCTGGCTAAAGTGCACATATTGCACAACGTATTTGTGAAATGAGGAATTGAAAGATTCTTCCTCGTCCAGCACTTAATTATTATTTTGGCTCTGTGAATTTAGTTCCAGTTGCCGTCTCCTCACTGCCATTTACTGAGAGCCTCTCATAACTTCAGTCACCACAACAGCAGATCAGACTTTCTCTCCAAATGTCACATTACAGATCTAAATGATGAACTTGGACGCTAAGACTAGAGAATTATGATTCAATCCATCACAACTAACCAGGCACAGGGCTCATTATTAGACTTTTATATGCTGAAACAATCCACTGAGGGAACAGATGAAGGAGAGGGAATATTCTAAAATCTGAATGAGATTAATTCTCAGGGAGAAAATGAGGCTCCTGCTGAAAAAAAAACAGCATAGACCTGCATGCCTGGTCAGCAGTAAAACCAGCATTATGTTGTGTTTTGGATGCTGGTACGCTGGTCAACCTGCAGGCCCATGTTGGGTGAACAGCTAAACCAGCACCAGACCAGCACTACACCAGCCTAAACCAGTACAAAACAGTTTAGACTGTCAGGGAATGCATGCTGGTACGCGCTGGTTTCTCTAGCACAGTACATGTCAGGTTTTATCCAGGCCTAAGTGACACTTTAAGCGACAGGAAGGAACTGAACAGCTCTATTAATGCCACAAGATTCAGCCGAGACTCCATAGACCTTTTACATTATGTTTTAGATGAATAACTTCAAACGTTAATAAAATCTGTCTACAGTACTTAGAAAACAGTACTGTGGTGTCTGCAACACGCTTCACGTTTCACAAGGGAGGTTTTAGGTGTGTGGTATGCAAAGCTGCAACGCAGACAGTATTTTTGCCTGTCCCAGCCCACCATCACTACACTTTAACTTGAAATATCATCATTAAAATGCTTCAAAAATCTCACACCATTAGCATAGACTCTAGTCTTTTGCATTTGCTAACTCTGTACTAAAACTCAACACTGTAGCTTTCAACTCTGTTACTCATTTAAGCTTAAAATTAAAATGTTGAAACATGATTTAAAATGGAGAATTTTTTACAGTATTAAGAGTGTTTTTAACCCTTTAGAATCCCAGACTTATTACATACTAATGCTTATTGTTCAGTAACTACATGGACTTTAGTAGAAACTGGCTGAGCTATTCTTAGGTTCTAAAAGTGAGTAATAAAACTTAAACTTAAAACTTAACCCATTTAAGGGATTAACTGGTAACTGGTACCCTAATTGTGGAATTACCCACTTGGCAGCTTCTTGAAATATACTTGCATATAGGTTAGCAGAGTTCAAGGCCTGCATAAAAATGACAAAATTTCTTGAATGTCTTTAGTGTAATGTGTGCATTCCTTCACAGCCATTTTTGGTGCCTGGAATACTCAAATAATTAAATGTAATATTCCTAAGAACTGCCACTCTTCCAGTGCTGCTACCCGGACTACACTCAAAAAAGTCATGTGTTAAATCACAACACACTTGTATTATCCAAAAATTTATCCAAAACCATTATCTAAAAAATCAGAGTATGCTGTTTACATGACCATATGAATAATCAGATAACTGCAGAAATCCAATCTGATTATGCACTGAGCACTGAAATGTGAAAGGGCATCTTCAGTACCTGTTAATTGAACAATTACATCACCTGAATTAGAGTAAATATAACACAAATGTGTAACGGGGTACATGATACATAATCCCTATTACAAAAAAAGATAACATTGATTAAAAAATACATCAAAGGCTGCACAGCTTTCCTGTTTTTACACTATGAGAGTCTGCAAATCTCCTTTAACAGCTAAACTAAACTGCTCAAATGTAGGACTGTTTCCACATCATTTCACTTTACGTAACTGTTTAACAAAAACGAAACCGTTTCTGAAATGGTTGCTGATCCTGAAACTAGCATGATAGCAGTAGGAAGCAATATCAATATCTCATGTGCTCTCGTCGCCAAATTAAAAGTCCACAGAGAATACAGGCTTAAATAATATCTGTGGCTCTTCTGTTTATTGTGAAAGTGCTTGAGTGACTCATTTTACAACAGTTAGACAAAAAAACAGTATGCTAGTCACATGAGAAATGACGGAGCAACGGGAAGTTGTAACTCTCATGCGTAGGTTTTTTTTCCCACCCGTATTGCGCCCCCTATGCTACGATTGGCTGGTTGGAGCGCGTCTTCCGCGCTAGGATTGGCTAGACGTTTATCCGCCCAAGCACTTCGTCTGTGACTATGAACTACTATCCAATCCTAGCGCAGGGAGGCGGGACTTGTCGGAATACAGGTGGGAATAACAGATACGTATGTCACCTCATGAGCCCTGAAGAAAACTCTTCTCTCTTTTTGCGCCTTAAGTGTTGATATGGAGAGGACACCGATCGTAAGGTGAGGCCAACGCTTCGTACAACCCCATTTTCACCACTACGTACGTTTGTTAGTTGTTTTGAAAGATAAATTAACGATTTTGTTTCACTTTAAAGTGATTACGGATCCAACTATGGCACGGCGAGCCCTGGCTACGCGCCTTCAGCAGCGGCCGTCCCAGGTAGGGCTTATCTTTCGTCTTTGTATTGATTGTAGGCTGAACATATTCAAGCAAAGGTCAATAAACGCTTTTTAGAAACTGGGGAAACACAAACTGTGTATGTCCACGCAAAGGCCTCTATAAGATGTCCATCTTCCGTAGCTATAGGTCCACTATATAAGTATATTGTAGCCCTGTTGCTGCACCACTGCTTAGCCCCACTGTAGTTAACCTAAGTTACCCCACTCATCAGTTTTCCCCATTCAGTTTCTGATCGCGTGACTGCTATACTGACCACATATGTCAACATGTGAGAGGCGGAGCATTCTCAACACAGCAGAGACGCTGTGTAAACGTTAGTGGGTGTGGTCTTGCTAAGGTTTTTACCCGAGAACCTGTAGATAGGAGAGAGAATTACGCTCTGTAAATGTTTTCCGGGTTTCTCAAACGCTAGAGGGCGCTCCCGAGCGAGTCCAAAATGAATGGGTTAAGATGGAGCATTTGGGCAAAATCATAGTTTATAAATGCTTAAACATTTTTAACAAAAAGCAATACATTCGTCTCCTGAACAGAGAACAGCTTAAAAGACGTTATATTATATATATTGTTATATTTGTTGTTGTTGAAAACGGCACCTCATGTACGTTCATGACGTCATTGGCGCGAACAGCCAATGAGCAATGTTACAGTTTACCCCGAGACAGAGGGTCAGTTGTAACACTTGCTGAAAGTCTGATGAATTAGAGCAAACAAAGTTAATTCAATATAATTCTATGTTATAAGCCATACTGCATGATATACACATTGTCCATTTTATCAGCTCCACTATATAGGTGCACTTTGTAGTTCTACAGTTACAGACTGTAGTCCATCTGTTTCTCTGCATACTTTGTTAGCCCCCTTTTACCCTGTTCTTCAGTGGTCAGGACCCCCATGGACCCTCACAGAGCAGGTACTATTTGGGTGGTGGATCATTCTCAGCACTGCAGTAACACTGATCTGGTAGAGGTGATGTGTTAGTGTGTGTTGTGCTGGTCTGAGTGGATCAGACACAGCGGTGCTGCTGGCGTTTTTAAACACTGTGTCCACTCACTGTCCACTCTATTAGACACACCTACCGTGTTGGTCCACCTTGTAGATGTAAAGTCAGAGACAATAGCTCATCTGCTGCTGCACAGTTTGTGTTGGTCATCCTCTAGTCCTGCATCAGTGGTCACAGGAAGCTGCCCACAAGACGCTGTTGGCTGGATATTTTTGGTTGGTGGACTATTCTCAGTCCAGCAGTGACACTGAGGTGTTTAAAAACTCCAGCAGCACTGCAGTCTGTAATTGTAGAACTACAAAGTGCACCTATAGAGTAAGTGGAGCTGACTCCACAAACACACACATCAAATTTTATATGAAAGCTGATATGAGTCTCTGTGTTAGACAATGACAGATTCATTTTTTATCCAGTGCAGGACACCAAATACAAAACATCACACATCAGTAAAATATGGAACATTGTTTCTGTATAACTACAGCTTTACCAACTGATAATGTCAATTAATATACTTATTTAAAACCAAAATACAGACAACTGAAAGATACTAACTAAAATCTGTGTAAACATCTGGAACAAAAAGACAAAATTTACTGTATTTGTCTTTGTTTACTAAAGGTGGCTTAGTTGTAACACCGTGTGACAACTAACCCCGCAGTACGGAGGTTTTACTTAAGCCTATCTGGCACTTGCTGTGAGCTTGTCAGCTGCTTCAAAACGGTGCTACATTATAGGGAACAAGATGGTGAATAAAGTAATATAAGGTTTGATTTTGTGATTTACACAAACAGCTCAGCTAGCAAAAAAAATAAAAATTGAAAAAATGACTTACATGCCCTGAAAACACTCTTTGGCACAGACCTCTTTAAAACGCTGACGAATCACTCTGGAGACATTGGCTATGAAATGTGATAACGTGGCCAGAAGTACACACTGCTTGATCTTCCCTAACAATAAAATATCATGCCAGGTAATCACTACAGCGGAAAAACGTGAAATGCAGCGCACACGTCATTATTGTTCCATAGTGACATGCATAATAAGAGCTAAAATGAAAAACAAACCCTCAATTACAGTGCATTTGACCTCTTTACTGATAAACAACACAAGGACTAACATTAAAAAAAAAAAACTTAAAATATAATAAAGGCATGATTATATTGCTTTCCACTAATGTAATGGATCTTTTACCTTTAATTTTGGCATGTTTTATGCGTGTTACTGTTTAAATGCAGTCCCATGTGTACATTGCATGTCATTCTTTTGGAAGCATTTGAATGAGGCAAATACATTTGAAGTACAACAAAGAGGTCAAGTGATGTGAAAACAATGTAATAGAGGTTTTGTTTTTCTTTTTGGCATGTATTCTGCATGTCGCTATGGAACAGTAGTGTCAGGTGTGCTTTGCAATTCACGTTTTTCCACTGTAGTGATCGCTTGTCAGTTTGGCACAAATGAGCGGCTTTGTGGTCAAAAACTGAAGGCAGAGAGGATGGTTAGCACACAGTGTGCATCAGCTGATGGGCTACATGCTAACTGTCCACTAGCAAGATGGAGCTACAAGGTAATATTCAAAATATATTCCAGTGTCAGTCAGGGCTGAACTTCTTTTTTCCCATCTGTCTGAATGAAACTACTTTAAAGTGCTTCAGCTTTAGCTGCAGTGTTTAAGCAACGTTTCTGTGTGGTTGGAGAAGTGGTGTGCTGTGGTGTGACGGTGGGCGTGGCTGAGGATGCGTCTCAAATTGGGCCCTAGTTCCCTACTTAGTGATTGTGTCAAGGCCCTTATTATCAGTAAGGTAGAGGCATATTTTTGTAGTGATACCTTGATGCGTTGATATTTTTATTCCTCTCATTATTATTATTATTATTTTTAGTATTATTATTATTATCATCATCATTAATGAAATCAAATGAAATCGTCCAACTAGATAACTAAACCGATGCAGCTAACATTTATTATTTTTATAGAAACCATATTCCCGTCCTTGAACAAAAATCTTTGTTGTGGTCACAGCCGAAAGGAGAAGCTGTTCAGATGTGAAATGGTGCATTGTAGAGAAATATACAGACTCAAATGTTTTTACAGTGGTGTGATGGAAACTTAATAGCCAAAACAAAAATAGCCTTTTTATTCACTTAATTTACTTAGTTTTATATGTTATAAAAATACATTAAAAACAAAGTTTTCTTTTGCAGTACAGCGCCCTGCATGTACGTCTCCACCATACATTGATTTTGAAAATACGTCTTAGGCCAAAGGCTTATTTTAAAACTATCAGAAAACACTTTGTGCTTACACGTGCTCAATAATCCGATTGTAATCAGATTTCTGCAGTTATCCGATTATTCAAATGGTCATGTAAACAGCATACTCTGATTTCTTAGATCAGAGTAAAGTCTGGAAATCCGATTAAGAAATCTGACAAAGAGGCTGGATTTTAGCTCAGTAATCAGATTTCTCAGTGCATTTAAACTCTTACTCAGATTTCTTTCAGATATTTCAGTCTGCGTATGTGCGAAAACAGATGGTGGTACCGGAGATAGGCAAGCAGCAACGCTAAAACCAACTACATGCTCGACAAAATGAAGGATTTAAATATTGTTCATCCTGTTGATGATGCGTGTTCATATTATCAGGTGAAGTGGCGCAATGTTAAAAAAAAAAAGCCGTGCCTTGAAATTTGAGTGTTGTGTTATGTTTACGTCACGTCTTCCTCTGTGAGTTAACTGGCCGGTTGCAAAGCAGCAATCTGACTCATGTAGACCTGGAGTTTCCCATTATCTGATTACACAAGTGCATGTAAACATGTTGATTGGATTACTGACAAAATCTGATTTTCTGCAGTTATCGGATTATTAAGTGTGTGTAAACGCGTTCACTGTCTCAGACATCATAACTGTTACATATAATAACTTTAATTCATTTGTGAGGTGGCTTTTAGAGACATTAAACTCTTCAGACATCTGGTTCCTGTCGCCACCACCATGAAGAACTGTAACTCAGTAAGTTTCTCTAGAACAGATCATTTCACGCCAAACCACTCTGAATGACTCTTAACTATGTAGTTATACAAAGATGTAGAAACATTGGTTGAATTCTAGATTCACTGGAAACTCAGCACTCAGCCCTTGTGAAAGACCTGTGGCGACATGTTAACAGACTTGCCTGATTGCGCATACAAGACTTTAGCAAACATTTGGTATATGACTAATATCAGCCATTTAAACATTAAAAACATCTACATGTAAGATGTACAGTTGAAGTGTTAGTAGTAGCTTATCTCAGTGATTCTCGACCGATCCTGTAAGCCCTCTCTGCCGGTCCACAATTTTGCTCCAACCTAACACACAGTGCATAGGAACTGCAGCAAAGATGTGGACTGTCTGGGTCACCCTGAGGTTTGAGATCCACTGGCTTATATTTCAGTGTTTCCCACGCATAGGTTATACCTTAGCAGTGCACCAATGTATACGGACACACGCTAAAGTATATTTCGAATGCCTAGTTGCAGTTACACTCCTGATTCATCTAATATTAATTTATTACATGAATATTGAGAAATATTTTTACGGCAGGGGTGCGCAACTCCGTCCTGGAGTTTAACACTGGAAAACCCCAGAACACTGTAGTTGGCTAACTACATAGGGAACAAAATGTAACCGTTTTGAGACACACCCAGACTTCCGCAAAGATTAACAACTCATTTGAGTCTTAAACATCAGTCACACCTGTGATTGCAGTGGGAGCACATACACTGAGAGTCTTCATATTCAGCTCAGCAACGGAGTTAGATTTCAAAGACTTGACTTAAGACTTGAGGGTAAGTTATGAAGCTATTATGAAATATTAAGTAATCCTGCTTGTTGCCTTATAGAAGGAGAGCTTCTGTGTTAATTTTTATTTCAAGACATCAGTGAGCTAAACTGGTGTGGTAAATGTTGGGAAATTTGAGTAGTATTACTTACAAGTGGGCTATATCACATTGGAAGTCATCTTGACTTCTTGATTTACTTAAACTTGTACATCTGAAAACTAAAATGATGCATTTAGTTTTAACATAATGTAAAAGGACGCAGAACCGAGCATGAATGTCCAGAATTTTTAAAGGGTTTCTTTTCAAATGCATTATAGACCACTTTTCTTTTTTAATGGTGTATATTGTTGGGGGTGGGCTTTCACATACAAGAAATATCAATGCTATGTTAAGATTGATACTATCTTTATTAGCGGTAAAAATGTGTTTGTCATTATACATCAGCTGTTGTTCCTTTCAAGATCTTGTTATATCCAAAATTGTTACAAATGGATATACAGTGTTTTGGAATTAAACTCTTCATTTGTTCATGATGTATTTTTATAACTATGAACAGAATGTTTAGATTGTGGTATTTACCTGATATGGAGCCTTGCCCTGACTTGTTTGACTGCTTTTCTTTAAGCCATGGCCGCCGCCCCCGCAGCAGGCACAAATGCCCCGTCTGCGCCCCCAGCCAGTATGTTTGACAATGTACCAGGCTACGAGGGAACGGTTGCAGGTGGAGGAGGTATTGTATAAGTCATAGGTTGGCTATATAGTACCAAAAAGACTTTTGCTGTTGTTACGAGTCAAAAAACCTTTTCTTGTTGCTATATGTGTTTGTCTGTTTTATCTCTCTCTCTCTCTCTCTCCTCTCTCTCTCTCTCTCTCTCGTGTATCCTGATGTAGGTGGATACCTTCCTCCTCCTATGCCGACAGTGCCAATGCCCGTACCAGAGTCTGGCCCTGCCCAGCCCAACTGGCAGTAAGCACCTCTTCTCTCTCTGTCCTGCATAAATTGTTGTATTAACGTAATTTCCAAAATATAAATAGTACAGATGCATAATATAAGATTTTTATTCCAAACACTCGATCTGAATTGCAGTTAATGATGTAAATAGTGTGAGGGAGGTATGTGCACTAACACTGTATTCAAAAGCAACTGATTAATAGAAAGTGCTGAAAATGTAATAGGAAGGTTTGTATGTTTATTTTGCCCACACAGTGTGAGCTGCGGGTTTTAGGAAAGAAGCTAAAAAAAACAGTCACCGGTCAATTTAGCTGTAAAGAAAACAGAATCGGCCATAAGAAAATCTAATCGTGCATCCCTAATAAATAGGATATATCATAGTTTATTGTATTTTTAGTCTGTACGTCAAACAACTTGCTTGTTTTTTTTCTGCGTGTACACATACCCCACCACACCACTACCATAAATCTTAAGCACCTGCACACACTTGTACATGTACGCCTCTAAGATACATGGTCTCAACGTGAAGCCTACAGACTCACAATAGAAATCCCACAGGGTTGTATTTTCTCACTCAAGCTGTACATTCTTTGTCTGTAGCTACATTAATGCTGTACTCTTGGTACGTAAGCTGCTAGACATGCTGGAACGTGCAAGGATCTTAAACTGTCTTTACTAATTTGTTCATTTTGCTGATATTTTTTTCAGTATTCCCTCCATCACAGAGGACGCTGCACGTGAGGCCTTTGTGAGCTACGCTTCCAGTAAATGCTGTTACAGCACTGGACCAGCCAAAGATGGGGTCATCACCAGCATGGAGCCTTTCAACACCTACAGGGTGGGGGGGACATGATCGTCCTAATTATTGTCATAATACTCATTATCTGTACAAGCAACAGTCTCAGCCGCTCACCATAATCATTGTTTACATTTCCATTTTTTTCATCCCAAAATCCTAAAAAGTCATGTTGCTAAGAGTTAGTTTATTTGGAAAATGCTGACAGGCCTTTCACTAGTCCTCATTCATTATAAGTAGTGTTAGCATTTTAGGTGAAGTGCTCCTTACCCAGCTAAATGCTCACGTTTTAGTTTGAGGCTTCCTCTTTTTTACTAACGAGGTCAAAAGTGAATTACACAAGCATATTTCCTCTTTTAAAAAGCCTGTAAAAGTACAGTGTTTTCATGAACAGTGATGTGTAACAGGTTTTTGACACAGAGTTGCTAGTTGCAGGTTGTTCTTATGATGTAATCTTCCTGTATTTCCATTTAATCTCCCCTTCTTGCTCTGTTCCTCATAGTATCGCTTGGAGACCTTCACTGAGTCCAGATCCACTGAGTGGAGTCAGGAGCCATTTACCAGTAAGACGCAGGGCCTTTGGGTTCAATCTAGTCAGTGGTTCCTGTAGAGACCCAAACCACAGCTAAAAGAACCACCATAAAACTGAGATGCTCATATCCCTATTTTGCCTGTTTCAGTCACCACAACAACATTTAATTTAGCATCAACATTTAATTCATATTTAGTCCTATAGACCTTGCACAACAGTGAGCAGCACAGTAGCAGAAGTGACCCACAGGCTATCTGTGCTTGGGACTCTAGGGGGCACAAATGACCACATTTCCAAGGAAGAGAAACATGCAGCTTGTCTGAAGTGGTTGATTATTTCTAAGTGTGAAGGGAGATGTAGCAACACTGTGCAGTTAAAACCAATGCTGTGTCAGAGCACATGAAACAGGGAGTGTACTAATGTAATCCCTCTGTTGAGAAACATACTGTACCATCCAGTCCGATCACTGTCTTACAATTATAATAAAAAAACATACTCTAGCTCAGTAGATACTACTCAGTAGATGATGGAGATTATGTCCCTCACGTTTCAGATCAGCCTGTAGATGCATTTATCCAGCGTGTGCCAGGGCCGTGGGAGGTAGCAGCCCAGACTCCTGCCTTCTTCCAGGAGAGCACACAGAACATCAGAGTGCCCTACACCTCCTCAGTTAAGGTAAAGCAAATAGAAAGCTTCAGTCAGGCTCCAAGTTTGCTTACCATCAAGGAGGAGATGGGGGGGGGGGCTATCATGGAGAACAGCAGTGCAGAGATAGGAATGTATGGGGTTTTATGGTTGGTGCTTGACCTTTGGTCATTGCACAACTCTGTATAGTAGTTTTTTTTGTGAGTGTGTAACTGTTGGTATAGCATACAGTGTGTGACAAAGCAAACCGGTTTATTAAAAACAGTGTAATCCAACACTCATAGTAGAAAAGCTGAGGTGAAAAGGACATAGTAGTGAATCAGTCTGAAGGGCCAGGCAAAAAGGACAAAAAGCAAAAGCAGTGACCAAAAAGACAAGCAGAGGTTCCAAACACCAGAGGGGCAAACAAGACAAACGCTCAGTAGTCAGACTCCAAGAGACTGGCAGTACCTCACACTGACTGTCTGAGTTTGGGGAGTATTTAAGGTGAGACTGATTAGGGAGATAATAAGGTGCAGGTGGCTTGATCCTGGGAGCAGGGCTAGTACTCAGGAGAGAGAGACCTCTGGTGGCCAGATATGGAATTACTGACAGTGTAGGGGCCTGGAGTTCAGCTTGGTTTAGTTTAACGTGAAAAAAAATGTTAAAAACAAAAAACACTTCTAAACTGTATTGAATTTAAAGCTGTCTCTCATTTAAAATGGGTCTCTCAGTTTGTAAATGGTCTAAACTAGCCACCTGGTTGCATCCTATCCGTGCAGGTGGGCAAAAGGTGGGGGCGTTATGCTAATAACAGCACAGTGATTTTTGGGGCTTGTTGTGGACAGGCTGGTACAACAGGCATTTTAAAGGTTGTATTTGAGAACTTCTCAGCACCAAACCAATCCCTGTAGTTTATAATTAGAGCCCTGTAGAATTCCGACATTTCTAACACAAAAAATATCATAAATCAAATGTTGACAACAGATTTCGCATCAGGCTTGTTATTCCCAAAAACGTTAGCTGTCATAAAGGCTGAAACCATGCCGCATCAAGACAGTTTTTCAATGAGAATTGAGAGAGAGAGAGAGAGAGAGAGAGAGAGAGAGAGAGAGAAGAAAAGATGTGACTCCATGTGTTCAGCAAAAAATGACTGTACAAACATATTTCAGTGGTTTGGCACGTGGAGTTATTTGCTTGTTTGTTTTGTTTTACTATAGGCATGATTACACATTATGAATAGCAAAATGAAACTCGCTCTACTTAAGGGTCACAGACACTCTGTCAGTATAGTGTCATGACGCTGCCATAAGGCATCATTAAAAAAAGCACAAATATGAAACTAACTACTTAAGGGCCAGAGAAAAAATAGATAACTGTTTATGTCATTACAGTGCCATAGCATTGCCATATGGCTTCATAGAAATCATAAGTGAAAATATAACACACACCTTACTTAAGGGGCAGAGATAATATACATAACTCTGTCATAACAGAGTATCAGTTTCAAAACCTTCACACTGTAGCTTCAATACTGTAGATTTTCATTCAAGGCTGAAAGCATCTTTTCACAAGTACTCACCCTTGTTTGATTTTGCAACCAGTCTCACTTGTCAAGTTGTGTAAAATAATCACAGTTTTGTGTTTGACATATCAAAAACATACTGAGCTAAAGTCAAGTGTCACAACATGCTGTCATTTCACCACAGAAAGTGCTATGACAACACCTAACACTCAGCAAAAACAAAGCAAAACATACATCCTGTAATGCTTCATTGGCATCAGAGAACTATTTTTTTAGCAGTGAGAAATCTTGGAGGTGGGGCTGTCTTGCAGGGATAGATACACCCCTGCTGCAGATTATAGTGTGAGCTTTAATATATATATATATATATAATTATCAGTTATTGGTGTCAGTACTGGACACAACAAAGTGTTAATTATCTGCTATTATAATTGGACTGTAATTTCTGTATGGGTGCCTCGCTACCTCAAACACTGCTGGATCTTGGCCAATTGGCTCTTTCATGCTTGACTTAAACGTGGCCTGTGATTGCATCTGGATTGTTTTTCATTGTCCACAGCCTTGCCACATGTGCCTGGGCATGAGGAGAACACCGTGCAAGGAGTGTGCAGGCTGTGGGACCGTGAGTCACATTTTCTGTTTTTAAAGCGACTGAAGTTAATATATTCATCCATCCTGGTAATTAAAAATGCTTTAAAGTTATTAAACACTTCTAAACTGATCCTCTTACAGAAAGTCTGCTGGGTTTGTAATGGCACTGGTTTTCGCCAAGACAACGATCGCTGTATGCACTGCAGCGGCCGTGGGAGGGAAAAGTAAGCTACATGCTGCAAGCACTTTGTTATTGCTGCTTCTTAATATGGACGCATGTTTGCCAGTGTTTTTAGATTGCGATAATGCCACTATTTCGTATTTTAATACTGCCATGTGCAAGTTAGAACAGGCACCAAGTGCTGTTCTAAACTGAGGCTATGTTTCACTATTATAAGGAGGTAATGATAAAATCTAATTAGTCCCAAAGGCCACTTTAATGTATAGATTCAAGCAGTTGTATAGATCAGACACATATGCCTATGACGAAATGCTCCAAATAAGGATAGTGAAAACATTACATGCTGCACTATTGTAGACACGGGACACATCAGTTGAAATGCAACACAGGTGTGGTTTAGTTGAGAATTGTGTTTTCTTGCTTACAGCTGCAATTGGTGCAGTGGGCGTGGCTCTAATGACTGTCAAACCTGCCGCGGGAAAGGACAGCTCCTTGTCTTCATCAACCTCAAGGTTCAATGGTAAGATCTGTAGCATTTAAAAATGATCTGGATGTGAATTTAAACCTGCCGTCACTCTACTAGACTGTTCCATCAAGTCCCAAACTACTTCCCAATAAGCTCAGAATATCAGTAGCTTGTATCAGCGTATGAATAGAGGTGAGGTTTTTGTAGTGTGATGTTTAAAATGTAATTTATGTTAATGTTATGATATTTTTCTACATGACTGCTTTGTGTAAAATGTAAGTAAGTAAACTTTATTTATATAGCACGATTATTAAATCAAAAGATGACACAATAAAAAAGAAAATAAACACATACACACAGTTAAGCACATTACCTATGATCACAACTCAAAAAAGCTAGAGAATAAAAATGAGTCTTTAGGTGCTTCTTAAAAGAACATGTAGACTAATATTGAGTGAAAGACTGTTCCACAATTTGGGAGCACACACAGCAAATGTCTCCCCTTCACTTCAGTTTAGTTCTAGGAACAACAACAAGCCCTTTATTAGAGGATCTCAGCGACCTGGTACTTGTATGAGGAACTAACAGTTCACGAATGTATTCAGGAGCTTCACTGTGTAAACCCTTAAAAGTAAAGCCCAAGTAAGAACCAGTACATTAAATCAATCCTGAATTTTCACTGGCAGCCAAAATGTGAAGTTGATTGTGTTCTGTTTTCCTCAGGACCAATAATAAGGAGGATTTTGTGGTGGAGCAGTCGAGTGGTCTGAGAATGGAGAGTCTCAGTAAGGTCTCCGGCAGGGAAATGTTCAGAGACTGTCAGTATATGGTAAACATATGCACACACATGCTTTCTCTCCGTCTCTGTCTCTCTCTCTCTCTAGGACAGAATAAGAAGCTATGTTCACATTACCTGGCTAAAGTGGCATAAAACTGATTTTTTTTCCATATGTGATCCTAGATAGGATACATATCAGATTGATGGCCATGCGACCATAATAAAAATGGTCAGTTTGAAATTCATGTGTGTTTTTTTACCACTGTGCATGCACCATCATTTAGCAGTAATGTGGCAGAAGCACCTAACTTTCAGTGAATTCCAGAACAACTGCAAAAGAAACACTGAAAGAACATTACATGTGACGTTTTTCCTTCCAATGAACAGCTGAGAGCTTTTCAGAGCAGATTACTTTTGTGATGCATGTGACATTGTTGAGTTGATTGTGCACGTATTTCAGGGCCCAGGTTTGTGTCAATGACAGATATGAGTGAGGCTGAACAATGAATCCTTTTTATATCAAAATTGCAATTTGAAATCATAAGAGCTGCAATTTTAATTGTATCTTAGATCCTTCAATATTTTCTTGTTTTTTTTTCTTGTTTTGACAAGTTTTTCTTAACAAGGAAATTGAATCTAATAACACAGAGCTAGTGAACTGGCAGAATAGTGGAAATGTATGTGCTGGTCTTCTTGGAAAAAGTCTGGAGCTTAATTTATAGAAAATAATTGCATTTAAATCACAATTGCAATATTGGTTTGAAAAATTGTAATTATATGAGTCACTTATGAATGTGAACCATCAAGTTACAAAAATTGGATCTGAGCAAAAATCTGAATTGTGCAGTAAGACTTGTAAAGTAAATATGTACATACAGAGAAAGTGGCCTAGTCAGAAAAGCATGATAAGTAGAAAGTGACTTTGAGGCGAATAGAATGTAAAAATGAAGAACAAGGACAAATAACAAGGAGCAGGGGGTTAGGGCAGGTGAGGGGGGAGAGTCAGAGTGAAATCTTGCTACTCTTATTTATAAAAGCAATAACACTGAGGGAAGCGCTAGCAGGATTTTCATTATTCAAACGTTTTTCCACATTTCCAAAAAATTGGTAAAAGAAAATATGCATTAATAACTGTTTCCATCAACTATTTAGTGCATATTCCTAAAGATAACGTTGTATGCCTAAAGTATGTGTGCTAAGCAGTTTTGACAGATCTCTGTCAAGTGTCCATGGCTGTAGCCGTAACATATCAGATATGCCAGGCTGAGTGGACTGTGACCCACTTAATAAGGACTGAAGCTGCTGTCCCACTTTGCCGTCCCTACCAACACCACCGCAAACAGACACGCTTTGAGTGAGGCACTTCTGAAAGTCAAAAGCAATGTTGAGCAAATTTGCGCCATGACTGGATGTTTTGAAGGACTATTGTTGGCCTTCTACAAACTATCCAGTTGTGCTGAGTATATGGTAGTGGGAGAAACATAAGGTATAGGCCAGGGGTCGGCATCATGAGGCTCTGGAGCCGCATGCAGCTGTTTCACTGCCCTGTTGCAGCTCAACGGCAGAATTAGGTTTGTAGGTAAAAATAAAATAATCCTCCTTTACAGTAAAATAAAAATCTGCTGATCATTCAACACAGTTTTAACAATAAATGGTCTTAAACACTGGAGTTAATGTAGAACTGCTAATTTACCCTTTAACCCTGAAGGTTGGCGTAGTCACAATAGCAACACACTCACCTAGCTAGTAGCTAACGAAAAGGCAAAGAGAAGGATTTAAGACGAACATCGATAATTTGGACGCGATTGGACTTATTTGCATTTATAAGCACTCAGCTGGTTTCCTGATACGTTTAATCTGCAATAAGAAACTGTCAAACACTAAAAAGTCAAAAAGCTGAAGTCAGTTTCAGTTCCATCAGGTGCCAGAACGGAACTGCTGCACCAGAAAATTAGAACAAGAATTGGGCAAATGAGAAGCTGACTTAAAAAAAAACTGAACATTGAGACATTTTACAGGAAACTATTCTACATTTGGAAAAGTTTCCTGCGTTTTCGTTTATATTACATCTGTTAGCCTATACTAACACATTAGCACATACTGAGGCATATTTACAGCCAAGATGGTAAAATGGACAGAAAATGTTGTGGCTCCCAAAGTGGTTTGATTTTTTCTGAAAGGACAAAATGGCTCTTCTTAACATTTGGGTTGCCGACCCCTGGTGTAGGCCTTAGCATGACAACAGTTCAGTCTGCCAAGTGCTACATCATCACTTATTCGACAAATCTGCCATTTTTTGTATGTCTTCTTTATCAATGAACCAAGTTCTCTCTCCACTTTATCCAAGCGTAAAACTTCTTTTGTGATTTGTACATTTTTTCATACTTCTGGATTTGCCATCTGGGTTGTCTTCTGCACGTTTTTCAAGTTCTCTTAAAAGATGTCTCTCGTATACCTTCTAATGACTGAGAAAATGAGTTCATTTTGGTACATTGATAACTTTGTGTGTGTTCTAGGTATACCCAGTGATGGGTTTCCCAGATCCTGCAGTGGCCCAAGCATCTGAACGCTTGATAAGAGAACACCAGTCCAGGTTTGCACAGACTGCCCGTATTCTGCAGCAGGTATGGCTATTCTTTGCAATGTCTGTACATATATCAGTTCCACATATTTCTAAATATCTGCATACATCCCACCAATAAAGCACTGATGTTGCTTTAATGTTGTTGTGCATTATACTGAATGTCTTATATTCCTATATCACTATTTACCCTTTATTAAGTTTGAAAAATGAGAAATGAGAGCTGACTGTCACATTTGATCTTTCCCACTTAACCACTGACAGTCAGTGAGTAAGCACTGTTAACTGAAACTATAGTCTTTTGGATTTTAACCCAATTATCTCCCCAGTTTAGTCATCGCCAATTCCACCCACTAGTTAGGACTCCCCCAATCACACGATACTTTCAACGCTAGGAGAGCGAAGGCTAATTCAGGCTTCCTCCGAGATCTGTGAAGCGCCACCGCATCTTTTCGAACTGCCGCTCACGTAACGTCATTGGACAGCTGAACACGCTCGGAGGAAAGCGCCAACCGCCAGATCTGTTACATCAGCTAACAGATGCCTGTGCTGACTAGCATCACGTTAAGTGATGGGGGGAGAAGGAGGGGCCATCCTACCCACCCAGAGAGAGCGAGGCCAATTGTGCTCTCTTGGACTCCCGGCTACGGATGGCTGTAGCATCACCAGGGATCGAACTCGCAATCTCCTGATGATAGGGCCAACGCTTAGATGGTTGCGCCACTCGGGAGCGAAACTATAGTCTTTACATTTTTGACCATATAAAAATAACATCAGCCTGTGTTATCGGTAATCAGAGTTCAAAGTCAGTATGGTTCAGGAACACTAGGATGTGTGTGGGTAGTAAATTTTTGACCCAGTTTTGAATTAGTCTAGTTATATAAATATAGCTTTAGGCAAATTTTTCATACTCAGTAATGTTAATCAAAACAATAAAGGCTAAAACTGAACTGAGATTTATTCAGTAAAAAATCACCACCAATTTAAGTAATATCTTAAATGTATTGCTTACCTTTTTCTTCCTGATGATGCGTTGCCACGTTTATGATTGAGTTCACTAACTAGACTGCTTACACACAACATGATCCTTCCACCGTTTCCATGCACAAAGGTTTCACAGCTGGTCGTTGTGGTGGTGATTTATTAGGCCTGTAAAACAGATGATGAGACGATGAGACCAGTAAGCATAATAAAAATCACATTGATCACATTGGAGGCATTTTATTTCTCATATTCTAGCATGATGGAAATACTGAATTTATCACATTTTATTATCCAATGCTGCATTTTTGTCATTGTCAAAGTTTTAGTGAACCTCAGGTTTGTACTGATTCTTGCATCGTCACTGATTGAGAATCTTTCCTGCTGCAGCGCCACACCATAGAGCTGATCCCTGTGACCCGGGTGACCTACTCATGGAAAGAGAAGTCTCACATTTATTTTGTGTTTGGGAACGAGATGAGCGTGAAAGCAGACGACTACCCGGCCACCTGCTGCTGCTCTGTGATGTAGTTCAGCACTGTGAAGAATCAGACCAGTGTGGGGAAAAAATGGAGCACAGTAGGATTGATTTAGCGCCTGGTTACTGATGAAGTGCAATGTTTCTCAGCTCCAGTCCTGCAGACTCCTTTACACCCCTAAACATCCTGTTCAGCACATGAAGGTAAATAGTAATTTGCTGATGGTTAGACTTGGATGTGGCAGAGCAGGGAATATACTGAGTTGTGCAGTACGGGACTGGAGCACTCTAGAGCTATTCACTGTTTTCTTCAACAATATCAACTGATTTCACTTATGTTTTTAACTCTTTAAAGGGGAATCTCATAATTTTTTCAAAATTGCTGCATAATTACATTGATGCGATGAAAACAAAGTAATTCAGAGTGGTTTGATGTGAAACGCTCCACTCTAGAGAAATTTGCCCAGTGAGAGTTGTTCACAATGGTTGTGATAGGAACCAGATGTCCAAAGTGTTTACTGTCTGTAAAAAGCTACCTCACACAATTGCCTTACAGATTCAAATGATTCTAAATACCTGCTTGCCTGATGCCTGAGACAACAGTAGAATGCATAAAATTTGGCCTGAAATCTATTTTTTAATACATTCATGGCAGAGAGACACATGCAGGGTGTTAGTAGGCAAAATAGTACCCAAAGAAAACTGTTTTTTTTTTCAGATGTACCTCTGTTTTACAGTCATCAATATTAAAAACTGGATAGTAAATATTTTCAGTGTAGACATTGCAAACCCTGGTTCCTGGCACCACCATTATTAGGAACATTTGAGTGGTCGAGTTTCTCTAGAATGCAAAACTTCACTTCAGCAATTAAATTCTGCAGAATTTTTAAAATATTGGTGGAATTCCTCTTTACCAAAGAAGGGTTTCTATTTGCAATGTCTCTGCTCTGCCTGTAGTGGGTGCTATTTAGGGATTCACGCAACATTACCTTGCCAAAACTGACTTCAAACTGATTAAATTTATATCATTAACATGGAAGTTGCTGGAAGGGAAAAGGCCTGATGTGCAGAGGCCTGTCTGCTGCAATTAAAACACATGATGCACTATGGCAATAAAGGTGTGAATTATAAATGACTGTA